CGTACGTGCATCCCTGGATCAAGCGGAATCCTGTCATATCAGGACAGCTTCCGCTGCACCATGTCCATGATGGGCGTCCGCTGCACCATGTCCATGTCCATGGGCGTCCGCTGCACCATGTCCATGGGCGTCCGCTGCACCATGTCCATGTCCATGTCCCCGTCTCGCGAGAGCGCCCCGCCTCGCGAGAGCGCCCCGTCTCGCGAGAGCGCCCCACCTTGATTTTACAGCCAGGGAAAGGAAAATCGTATGGCAGAGTGCAACGGAGTTTGTACGGCGTGAGAACCCCTGTGTACTAAGGTCACGCTGAGCATGTTTTCGTGTGGAGCTCGAGGGTAAACTGAGTACAGATCGACTGCACAGCGTGCAGTGTGTGTACAAGGTACGTGTCGTATGTCCTTGGCTTCAGACAGGACACCGCCTCCACAGCACGGCCACGAAAGGACGAGTTGGTGGGGCACTCTCACTCTACTATAGGGTAGCATGTGTGGCTGCACAAGCGGCTTGAGGCAGAGTGCATTGAATGAATGTGCTTAATGTAGAACACGCTATTTGCGGTGTAACTTAAATTTCGGTGATTTCGGTAGAGAAACTACGCACCTAAATTTATATTACACCCAAATGGCACTGGAGTATGCACAGTATGTGAAGGGAACGCTGGTCACCAAATTCTACATTACACCTGAAACCTGGCAGGTCCCTGGCACCGAAATTTTAATGCACCTAAAATTACATCGGTATTTGCCATTTTCAGGTCAGTGGGCGACGGCTTATGTGATTGCTTACTGATGTGGGTTGTCTCATCTTGTCTCGTTTCTCCTCCTCCGTCTGTGTGTGTGTGTGTGTACGTGTGTGTGTGTGTACGTGTGTGTGTGTGTGTACGTGTGTGTGTGTACGTGTGTGTGTGTGTGTGTACGTGTGTGTGTGTGTGTATGTGATTGTCTTTGCAGTACACGCACGGTTGGTTGTACAACCCGTTGGCCATCGTCCTTCTATGAGCCACCACCGCCAGGGCCTGTTGATAAGAAGTATTGGAGCCCAGCTCCAGCTCTGCCTCCCATGAACGCAATCTCCATTAAAGTGCCGGAGGGATGCAACCTGTTCTCAAGGAGTTAGTAAACCGTATTGCCGGTTTTTTTAATTTATTTATTCAACTCACAATCTCGTAGCATGTGCACGTAATCGTTTCAGAATTACTACAGTAGAATTAGATTTCTTATTAAAATTATCCTGTGCGGATATTGTTGGTGTGCAGAGTGTCTCACTCATTGACGCCCATTACTCTGTGAACCTTTGGGGAAAGCAAGAGCCCCTCCCTAGGCCAGCGCAGAGTTCTTCGCACGAGTTTTTTTTGTTAAAGATGTTCCCCGTTTTGTTTTCTCCCGTTCACGTTTCCGTTTGGCGTATTGCTTGTTGTTGTGTGTGCTCAGTGACTGGAGCACCCACCATCCCGACCCTGCAGGTCAGGCCGGCGTTCGTCGCCGACCCACGGCACCGGCGGGCATCAACAGGAGCATCGCCACAACCGCCACCGTTTGGAACAGCGGCAGCAGCAGCATTGGCGCAACAAACACCACAGCCACCGTTTGGAGCAGCGGCATCGCAGCAAACACCACAACCATCGTTTGGAGCAGCGGCATCGCAACAAGCAGCACCACCGCCATCATTTGAAATAGCAGCAGCAGCGGGGGCAGTGGCGGGGACGGCGGTGGTGGCGTTACCAACTGGGCCCACCACCACCATGACCTTACCGGCGGCACTACAGTCGGACCTGGACCGGCGCAGGTCGCAACAACTGATGCGCCACGCCACCACCGCGGCCAACACCGCCACACCAGCGGGCATCAGCACCACCACCCCGGCCACCACCGCCGGCAACAGCAGCACAGCTAGCCGCGCACTGCGGTCAACACCATTGACAACAAGAAGGTCCGCCAGAACCTCCTCCTCAGCAGCAGCAGCAGCTGCTGGGCTTTCTCCAGCTGGTGGTGTACGCGTTCCTAGACACTCGGAGACATGGAGAGCGGGCCAAGCGGCAACAACAATGGCCGATGGTTCACCTCTGCCGGACGGTTTCTTCGACGGAGTTAATTTGACCGTGTTGGACGATTACTCGGACGACGAAGATGATATTGGTGAGCTTTGTGTGTGTGCGTGCGTGTGCCACACACACATGCAGACACACACATGCAGACACACCATGCACCATGTACACACACACACGCACGCACGCACGCACACACACACACACACACACACACACACACACACACACACACACACATACACATACTGGTTCTGGTGTTCTGGTTGTGTGTGTTTGTGTGTGCGAGCGTGTGTGTGTGTGTGTGTGTGTGTGTGTGCGTGCGTGTACACGCGCGACTGTCCTTTTTCATTTTTTTCATTGTTCACTCTGTTCTCTACACTGCAACCTTCAGGGAGCAGTGAGGAGGAGCAGGGTGATGATTCGTCAGGCGGATCTGCCGACGACTTGGACGATGATTCCCAGCTCGAGATGTTTGGGCTCGCATTGGAGCAGCTCGAGGAGGGTCTGGCAGTGCGATCTCGCTCTAAGACGAAGCGGATACAAGCATACCGAGCTAAACTCGACGCGCTGGTGCATCTGGCCCGGGACAGTGTTAGTTCTGCTGCTGCTGCTGTTTGTGTGCTGGTGGTGGTGCTGGTGGTGGTGTTGGGGTTGGTGGTGGTGGTGGTGGTGGTGTTCGTGATAGTGGTGCTGGTGCAAGTGCTGGTGCTGGTGTCGTGGTGGTGGTGGTACTGGTGGTGTTCGTGTTCGTGCTGGTGGCTGTGGTGGGGTTGGGGTGCTGGTGCTGCTGTTGCTGTTGCCTTTGCTGCTATTTAGTTGTTGTTGTTGTTGTTGTTGTTGTCGTCGTCGTCGTCGTCGTCGTTTTTGTGATGATGCAGACCCTTCAGATGAGCCCTTAAGTTTAAAAATCTCCTGGCCTCTTTCTCCAGCCCCCCCCCCATCTTTGGCAAGGATGTGCTTGCTTTCTGGCAGTAATTTGTGAATTTGTGTGTGTGTACGGAAAGATATCTCCTGCATGGTTTCTCCCCTGGTCAGTGCCACAGGGTGACTGCCGGACGGTCGTAGCGTATGGCAAGGCAGTCACTGTGTGTCTCAATAGTCGATACCACGCACCAACTTTCTGGCGGACTCACGCGCACGGGCACCCCTCCTCCTCCCCCTCCCCCTCGCACACACACACACATATATTACAGACATGCCCCAATCTCTCCTTCATTCCACCTGAACATGCCGTCTTGTGTTTACCGCTATCAGACCGCATCGTCCACGCGCCACCCAGACCCAGCCACCGCTGTCAGCAGAGGAGATGAGGAAGAAGAAGAAGAAGATGATGAAGAAGAAAAACAAGAAGAAGATCTTGTTACTCAGAAGGTGCGCAGTACAATACTGCAGGCCAAGCAATCCCAAGCCAGAAACAAGGTTGGTTATGCTGGTGTTTGCCTTAGTTTTCTTTACTGTGAGTCAACAAATATTCGGCTTCAGCGCTTCATTTGATGTCCATCACGCATGCTCCGTGCCAAAGGGAAATCCCCTGGCACGCTCCTCAACAGAAAGAAGTCATGAACAAAATAAATCGCGTTCACTCTGGGCCGTGACTTCCGTGTTCTCGCATCTTGTCGCCGCTCAATGAATTCTTATTCTATCGCAAAGCACGTTACAGTAAGATCGGGCGCCGAAGAACACCTCGCCGAAGAACACCCAGGCTGGAAAACCGGCAAAATTTAAGAACAGTCCAGGCTAGAATTATCAGATTTAAGAACACTAGATCTACATTGTACGTAGATCTACATTGTACATGTATGGGAGGTGAGTACATGTCATGTACACGTGTAAACAGTAACTGCTACATGTACAGTCATTCCCATTTACGACACCCACTAGTTTAGAAGTACTACATTGCACTACATGTACATGTACATGTACATGACAAACGTCATGACGTCACTCGACTCGCCGCGCGCGTGTGAATAAGAACGGTCTGGCTAGAATCAAAAATTTAAGAACTTTCCTAGGCTGCGCTCGAGCCCCTGCGTTCTTCGGCGCCCGATCTTACTGTATATCCACGGAAAGATGAAGTCAAGACCTTTCCAACGGTGTATTGATTGTCGCGATGCGTGTATTTTTGACGAAGTTACGAATGTGTGTACACTGGTCTATGCACTGCGATAAATCGCGCGATTGTTTTGCGAGTTAACTCGTACAGAGTGGATCAGGTCATGCATAAAGCGCGAGTTAACTCGTACTCAGCACGCAAAGGGTTAAGCCTGGGAGGCCGAAATTTCAACATGCCGACGATTTGTAGACTTACAGCATCGCCTTTTTTTTCGGCAAATTGCACCTGGCTGATTATCTGATTGTCTGATTGTCTGATCGCCAGTACAGTCAGACCTCGCTTAACCGGTCCTCTTTTATCCGGATCCCTCGCCATCCGGAAGAAAG